GAGTCTCATAAGTGTCCAGTTTAAGGGTATTACACAGAAACACACCACAGGAACATGAATCAAATATGTACTTTATTCATTTACAATAAATTCATAATGTACATTATTCATTGGAGGTAAGGGCGTATATGTACTTTATTCATTTACAATAAATTCATAATGTACATCATTCTGATTGGAGCTAAGGGCATACAACTGTCTAACACCCTTAATTACATCTTTGCTAGGGGCAGAGAAAACCCTTTGATTTTGATTCAGAAGTACAAATGAATAGACTAAACCAAGTAACATTTTTATACAGAATTTTCCTTTTGAAAATTCTAGTATATATATTCCCTCTTTGTTGAGAGAAACACCAACAAATAAATAAACAAATTTTTTATACATAACAAGTAAATAGGTATCATAAATAGTCATATTTCATCAATAAGGTTACAGATGGCCTTTAAATTGTGGTTATGTGCATTATCATGGTGTGAGAAACCCTAATCAACCAAGTTTCATGAACAAGGTTGTAGATGGTTTTCCCCCTCACACATAGGTTCATAGGTTGTGAGGAACCATAATCAGCCAAGTTTCATGAACAAGGCTATAGATGGTTGTCTCCCTCACATATGATTAAAATGAAACAAGGAGAAGAAAAAAAAAGGAAAATAATAACAAAGAAGGAAAGTGTGAAAGGAGTATAAGGAAAGACATAAGTCTAATAAAGGAAGTTGTAGGAGAATCATAATGAAGAGATGGAGGGGGAATACTGCAATCCCTACCTTCTTCTTTCTCCTCTTTTCCCTTTTCTTCCACACCACAACCTTCTCTTCTTTCTCCTTTAGTTTGTCTCTTGTTGATGTAAATTCTATCAATTGAGTAGAATTAGCCAACAAAGTGGCATTAGCCCCTTCTCCGTGTAAGAGAGGGGTTTATATAGAGGAGGGAGGTGATTAAGTATTCCCCACTCCTCTCTTCTTAGAGTGCCAAGTGTCACCCCACTTAAAATGGGTTAAGGAGGGAAAATAAAACTCTTCCTTCCTAAGGTGACAAGTGTCCCCCCACTTAAAGTGGGTTAAGGAGGGAGAAGAAAACTCTCTCCCCTAGGATGACATGTGTCCCCCCACTTAAAGTAGTTAAAGGAGGGAAAATAACTCTCCCCTAGGGTGACATGTGCGCCCCCACTTAAAGTGGTTAGAGGAGGGAAAATAACTCTCTCCCCTAGGGTGATATGTGTCCCCCCCCTCCACCTCCACTTCAAGTGGTTAAAGGAGGGAAAATAACTCTCTTGTTAGAATAGGACAAGTGGCATCTCCTTATAAATAAGTGGGACACCTGACAAGAAATTAATTAATATAGATTAATCTTTTAGGGCCTGTTGTTCCATTAAATGGGCTTTACTGCAGGCTCATAAAATGCTTATTGCATTACAAACAAGACCAATTAACTTGGGGCCTGTTATTCACTAAACTAGACTGTAGGCCCCTTTCTTTACTAAAATGTTTCAGCCCACCAATAGGACTGACTGGGCTTATAAGAAAGCCCTTTTTCTTCTTTATTATTATTTTTTTAAGCTGTGTCTGGGAGTATCTTAATAACCTGCTCCTAATCCAGCAAACTTAAGGACTTAACACAGGGAGAGCTTTTGTTATTTCCTCTTACATGGTGCACAATGGAATATTTCCCAACTCAAGGAAATCCTACATGAAACGTTGGGGATAACTACCAGAAATATGGTCCCTCAAGCCACTGTGTAGGGCCATATCTCTTTTGAGCTCATGAGTTGTTAGAAATCTTTTTCTTGTTTTGTGAGATATGCCATCTTTTCTAGTCTTACCCTTGTTCTTTTAGAGTTAATTGTTTGCACTAAATTCAGTCCACTGATGTAGTTGCTTTTTTTGCACACAGCCAAGATCATCTCAGTCTTATCTGCCTTGAATTCCTACAAGTGTATTAATTTCTAATGTTATCATTCCTATGCTTGCAACTCATCTGGCTTCTACTTTGGTTTAGATTAGATGCAGTCTATGGTATTTTAGTTCCCTTTCTGACAGGTTCACTGAATCTGGGGTGGAATTGGCATTCATGTGTAGTGGTAGCTTCTTACCTCCTTAACTTTCTCCTTTCGTAGTGATGTATACCTCCTCATGTATGGTTAATTTTCAGGGCCATATTCTTTGCCCACACTTGTTTAGAAGGGCAAACTTTGCTTTTAGAAGATGCCCCAGCTAACACTTGCTCATTTCTAACTTCACCTGGTGGTGATGCAGCCTATTTCTTCAAAGGAATTCAAATATTCAATAGTATGAGTTAGAAACAATAGAGTTCTAAAAGAGTATTGCACTGTCCTATATATATACAACTTCCCAATTATTGTTGTACACACTGTTTAATATCATTTCCAAGTCAAATTTGTAGGATTTTTCAATGTGTTGTAATGGATGTCATTCATATTATATTCTAGATTATATATTCATTTGGATCATTTTTTCAGGTTTATATTTGATGCAATGCATGCAGTTACTGGTGCCTATGCAAAACCTATCTTTGTGGATGGGCTAGGAGCCAATCCAGTATGCTAACACCTTCCCAAATATATTTGAAGTAATTAAACTAAAGCCATTGATGAAATTATTGACCATTGCTGTACAAAATATAGGATTCAATTGCTAATGGAGTGCCATTAGAAGATTTTGGCCATGGCCATCCGGATCCTAATCTTACGTAAGAGAACCAACTATTTTTTGAAATGGATGCTTCAGTATTGCAGCTTGATTTTTTCCATGTTTTTTGAAACAGGTATGCCAAGGATTTGGTTGATGTCATGTATGCCAAGAATGGACCTGATTTTGGAGCCGCTAGTGATGGTATGTAGCATGACCTAAAAGAGGTGACATGTGTCTTTGTGTTGATGACTTTGATTTGTCAATTGGGTTGCATTAGTATGCAAGTGCTAATAATATTTTTTTATCCAGATTTTCTTTAGGTTAGGACATAATCTGTATTTCCTTTGGGTCCTTCATATAGTTGCTCTTTGAATATTGCACGGGTGGATGGGAGGTGGCTAGGTGGTGAAATGTATAGGGCTATATGTATGTTATGTTTTAAGATATGATTTCATTATAGTGTTGGGAGTTTTGAAGGTGTTTATTCTAGGGTGCTTGGGTCACAGACCTTGGTGATGATTTCAAGTAACTTAGGATTCTATTTGTTGCTTCCATGCATATAGTCCTAGGGGCATGCATGAATTGACTAACAATATGTTAGATAGTTATGCCCTTAGCTCAAATCAAATTGATGTATCTTTTGACATTTATTGTAAATGAATAAAATACATAATCGATTCATGTCATTGTGGTGTGTTTTTGTGCAATACCCTTAAACTAGACACTTATGAGACTCGTGTTAGTTTAGAATCTTCACAGCCGTTGGATAAATTTGAGGAGATTTATCCTGTCAAGGATGACACTGATGTACTGCCAAGTTGGTTGGGGTGGCTTGTCTCAGCTACCAGGGTGAGACTTGAGGTACATGTAGTGTGGGTTTTCTAGAAACCCTAAACCGAACCAAAATTCCAGTACTGCCCTGGACCTTAGAGATATATGGGAAAAACTGGAATGTTACACCTGACCCCTAGACTCGATTATGGTACTGCACTAGGTGTCGGATCGGGCTATCTTTGATATGCCAATCAGTAAGATCCTTTGTCGGACAAAGGATCATAGTGAGGGGGTCAAAACCTGGGTATGTTGGGACAGTCCGAGAATTCATCTAAGTGGGTGATCATAGTGATAGGATCAACCCCTTTGTCGGACAAAGTGAATGATCAGGGATGCACTCTCTCTGATGGAAACCTAAACTGCCGGCAGTTGATATCAACTGTTGAAATTTGTTTTTGCAAAATATATTTATATAGAGATATACATATATATTATGGTTTCAAAATGTTTGCAAAAGGTTTTAATTCCCTGGATCCATGTGAGTAGAGAGTGCAGCACTGTTCCTTGCAGCCAAGGGAGAGGTCCTCTCTTGCCGGGCAGTGTTTGATCTGGTCCGGTTTGATTCAAGATTGATCATTGAAAATTCAGTTTTCTAAAATAGGGAATGCAATTCCCAGATGGGAGAGAGAAATTTTTGAAATTTTGCCTAACCTTCCTATAGGGTTCGGCCATCCATATGATGGATCTCTCATCCCTTCACAATATTGACTACATATGCAATATCTGGCTCTAGTCTTGAGTGAGTGAAACAATTTCTCAACTAGGTGATGATATCTATTTGCATCTACAAGTAGTTATCCATTTTAGTTCCCCAAATGACGATTTTGCATAATAGGAGTTTCAACATGCTTGGGTCACAAGTTCCTCATCTCCTTAAGGAGACCTAAGATATACTTTGTGAAATAAAGATATCTTTATTGGATCTTGTAACTTAAATTTGTACAAGTATTGAAGATCCTCCAATTCTTTAATCTCAAACTCATTGCCCAAGAAAGATTTAAGCTGTTGCATCTCTTTGGCGTATCACTTGCTACAACAATGTCATCTGCACACACTTTCTATGTGTAGATCCTCCCACTTGCACTTAGGTCCAATCAGGTACAAGCCGGAGTCCCATGCTTTTCACGTGTTTCTCAAACACTTTCTGTGATAGTGGCTTCATCAATGGGTCTGCTACATTTTTCGCTGACGCTACCTTCTGAATCAGGACATCCCCTCTACCAACAATCTCCCGCAGTACGTGGTACTTCCTCTCGATGTGCTTCGACTTCGAGTGGGCTCGTGGCTCCTTAGCCTGAGCAATGGCTCCATTGTTGTCACACAACAATGGGATGGGTGATGTGCTGGACGGAACTACTCCCAACTCGT